CAGAGTCCCAGGTTCAGGACACAGAGCTAGTTGGTCCTGGATCTTATTGTTGAGGGCCTGAGCAAAAGCTCCCTTTAACGACTCCTCGTCCATACTTGATGTTATTGCCAATGTTCTAAAATCGACTGAAAAGTCTGAAACTGTTTGTGTCACACCCTGTCCTGTCTCCCCTTAGGTTTTAGTCTGTCTCCGTTAATTGCTCCCACCTGCCTCTTGTTTCCCAATCACCCTAGCTCCCACTCCTCGTGTATTTAAACCCCTTCTGTTCTGTGTTTCATGTCGAGTCATTGTTTCCCATGTCCAGCGTGTTCATTATTAAAACCTTTAAACGTCCTACCTGTCTGCCTGTCTTCCTGTCCTGCGTTTGGATCCTCACCTGATCACCGCTCCGCTCATCGGGACGCTCATGACAGAATGACTCGACCCCCAGAAGGATCCAGCGGGAAGGTTATTCCCTGGGGGTACCTGTTCCAGTTTTTCTCTGCGGACCATCGGCCGGCATCCTCTCCTCCTCAGGCTTCGCCTTGCCGCAGACGGCGTCCCCGACCTTCTGCCTCGGCGTTCCTCTCCACCCTCCCGGAGCCAGGTGAGAGAGTGGACGGGGAGACGCTTACTGATTGCTCCAATTACGTGGGCACCCGCCTGGCTGTGTGCTCTCCCGGAGTTGGCCCACGGCGTGGGGAGAGATGCCGGGCTCCACCGCGGCCCTGTGTCCCAGGACGGAGCTGCGACCTCGCCGCTGCCCCTGCTCGGCACAGTTCCTTGGACACGCCCCTGGTCAGACCAGCAGTTCCGTCTTCGGCCGAATCGGCGCCTTCAGGTGGGGGAGCTGCGCCCGCAGCCCAGCTGACTGGGCTCGCCAGTCTCCGAGCTGAGTTGGTCCAGATTCATCAGACCCTCAATCTCGGTAAGCTCCAGCTGGACAATCTGCTCGCCGCTGCCCCGGCTGGACGCAGCAGCTTGGACCCGCCCCCGGTCGGACCAGCTGTCCCGCCACCGGTCCAATCGGCTCCTCCGTCATCTGCAGGAGGAGGAGCAATGCCCGCAACCCAGCTGACTGAACTTGCCAGTCTCCGGGCTGAGCTGGCCCAGCTTCATCAGATCCTCAGGTCTAATCAGCTCCAACTGGACACTCTGCGCTCCCAGTCTCCAACACCACCAGTTCAATCACAGCCTGTTCCAGCGGTGGTCCCGGTGAACACACCGCAGCCGATCCCGCCTGTCCAGACAGCCCCTCCTGCAGCGGCTTCACCTCCGCTCCAGACGTCAACGGTTCCGGCCCAGAAGCAGATGGTGCGGGCCCAGAAGCAGACGGTGCGGGCCCAGAAGCAGACGTTACCAGCCCAGAAGCCAGTGGCTCAGAGACCGGCGGTCCAGAAGCCGGAGGACCAGAAGCCGATGGAAGTCGACATCTCTTCCAGTCCAAGGGTCGATGCCTCCAGTCCAAGGGTCGATGCCTCCAAGCCAAGGGTCGACGCCTCCAAGCCAAGGGTCGACGCCTCCAGTCCAAGGGTCGACGCCTCACCCTGTTCTGAAGTCGACGTCTCGTCTGAAGTCGACGTCTCGTCTGAAGTCGACGTCTCATCTGAACTCGTCTCCTCTGAAGTCGACGTCTCGTCTGAAGTCGACGTCTCGTCTGAAGTTGTCTCTGAAGTCGTCGTCTCTGAAGTCGTCTCGTCTGAAGTCGTCTCTGAAGTCGTCTCGTCTGAAGTCGCCTCGTCTGAAGTCGTCTCGTCTGAAGTCACCTCGTCTGAAGTCATCTCCTCTGAAGTCGACGTGTCCGAAGTCGTCTCCTCTGAGGTCGACATGTCTGAAGTCATCTCCTCTGAGGTCGACGTGTCCGAAGTCGTCTCCTCTGAAGTAGACGCGTCCGAAGTCGACGTGTCTGAAGTCGCCTTGGCTGAAGTCGCCTTATCCACTCTGGAGGTCGACGCTCTCTCCACTCTGGAGGTCGACGCTCCCTCTAATCTGGCATCTCCACCGTCTCCAGTTCCAATGGTGGTTCTGAAGGTCGCTCCGGTCCAGCCCGCAGAGACTATGTCCCCGGCCCAGCCTACAGAGACTATGTCCCCGGCCCAGCCTGCAGAGACTATGTCCCCGGCCCAGCCTGCAGAGCTCCTCATCTGCCGCAGGCGCCGGCCTCCAAGGGCCCGTCGCCTCCTCATCTGCTGCAGGTGCAGGCCCCCGGATTCTGTTGGTCCCTGCCGCCTCTCCATCGGTCCCTCGGTTCCTCTGGGCCCTCCCTCCAGGTCCCCCTCCTCCCGCCCTGCTCCTTGTTCCTGTGGGCGTCTGGGATCCGCCCTTTGGGGGGGGGGGGGGGGGGGGGTCCTGTCACACCCTGTCCTGTCTCCCCTTAGGTTTTAGTCTGTCTCCGTTAATTGCTCCCACCTGCCTCTTGTTTCCCAATCACCCTAGCTCCCGCTCCTCGTGTATTTAAACCCCTTCTGTTCTGTGTTTCATGTCGAGTCATTGTTTCCCATGCCCAGCGTGTTCATTATTAAAACCTTTAAACATCCTACCTGTCTGCCTGTCTTCCTGTCCCGCGTTTGGATCCTCACCTGATCACCGCTCCGCTCACCGGCACGCTTGTTACAGTTTGTTTGTCTTGCTTCAGGTTCCAAATGGTCCTGGCTATTTCTGAGGGTGTTTCTGATCGGCCAAAAGTCCTATTAAAATCTGCTAGGAAATCGTCTAGGGTACCTGAGGAAACGAGCTTCCTGACTCTTAGCCTCTGCCCATTGTAAGGCACGACCTCGGAGCAAACCAACAATGTGAGAGATTTTAGCAGGATCACTGATAAATGTTTCTGGGGATCTTTCAAAAGTTACCATGCATTGAAGGAGAAAGCATCGTAATTTACCGGACTCACCAGAGAAGGTATCTGGAGGAGGCGAGTCTGCAACCCGGAAGTGCCACTGTGTTGACGGACCAGGCTGAACCGGAGGTAATTAAGATGGTGGTGGAGAAACCGGGGCAGCCGGAGCAGACAGTTTATTATTCAGCTCCCTTAACATGGCATCTAACTGTAACAGACGTTGGTTAGTGCTTGCTTGATGTTCAAGGAGAGTTTGTATGGAGTGTTCATGTTGGGCGAAAGCTGTGGACATGGCGGACGGAAGTGATTCGACAGTGGGGTCAGGAGTTTGGCCAGATGATTCTGTCATGTGTGAAGGCAATTTCTTAACCCACGACATGAAGACTCACCACCAGGAGTCGGAAGGTAAGTAAAAATGATTTATTTTGTATGGTGCAGTAGAGGTAGCTTCCGATGGGCAGGAAATGGATCCGTGGGGGTCTGAGAGAGGAAGAGAGGTCAGAGTCTGGAACAGCGTGAGAGGTTGATGAGGAATGCAAAGGGCTTAGGTTTCCTGGATGATCTGGGCTCTTCTGGGAGGGTATGCCAGGCCTGGCTGAACAGGGAGACCGAGGAGCTGCAGGTGGGCCGGTGAGTGGCAGAGAGCAGGCGATCAGGGGCAAACGGCAGGACTGGAATGTTGATGATGTTCCGATGATATTGCAGAAAGCGAATATGAATAGATGACTGGAACCTGGAGGGATCAGGAGGGCAGAGCAAGTTAACTGCCTGAAGGGTAGGAACGGGCAGACAAACAAATTCTAAAATCTTTCAGAAAGATCAGGAGGAGGGCTAGAAACTACCCAAGACTGAGTATCATCTGGCACTGGTGAGTTGTCCTGCTGCACCTTAAATCCCCTGACTGCTGATGAGCTGATTTGATACAGCTGAGCTCTCCAGACACACCCACCTGTAAACAAAGCTCAGACAGAGATGGTTAGTTCAGCACAGATCATGACACCTAGAGACAGTTGTGCATGACAATCCCAGAAGATCAGCAGTTCCTCAAATACTCAGACCAGCCCGTCTGGCACCAACAACCATGCCATGTTCAAAGTCACATAAATCACCTTTCTTCCCCAATCTGAAGCTCAGTTGGAACTACATCAGATTGTCTTGACCACGTCGACACGTCTAAATGCATTGAGTTTCCACCATATGATTGTGATTAGTAATTTGTGTCAAAGAGCAAATGGACAGATGTACCCATGTTCAATCCACCCGTCTTACTTTCCCCCACTTTGTAAAACATATTCCTGGATGCTCCAAAACACCAAAATATCCAAACTACTTCTTTTACAGATGCACGTTCACTTGCAGATATCCAGTTTGAGCAGCTGTATTTGTTATGTTACCCCTAGCTGATTTTCTCTTCAATGACGTCAATGTCTGAGCTCATTTAGTTATTTCCACTTTGTTTTGGCTTAGTTTTTTGTTCAATACATAATATTTTAAAACTTGGGCTGACTCCAACTTCCTCAGAAGGGAAGGAAAAATTACCTAAATCTTTTACAACCCGCATCTAATTTTCCTGCAACAAAGGAGGATGTAAGTGATGAGGCCAGTGTGGTGAAGGCTGTTTACAGGACAGTAAAGGGGCTCCTCTGACTGCAGGCGCCAGTACAACCATACGCTGACTTTCTCTGTGCCTTAAATACTATAATTGACTAAAGTAGAATCTGAAGCATGCAGGAAACAGAAACATGTGTTGGCGGGGGTGGGGGGGTGGGGGTGGGGGTGGTGGGTGGGGGGGTGGGGTGGTACTTTGATGCTACACAGTGTACAAATCGAATAAAGGCATGCCAAGACTCTGGGATTTGATTTTAAATAAGTAACATGATTCAACCTAAGGCATAACAGTTTTGATGCGAGTCTCTTACCCATCAATACATATACCATGCCATTGCCCCTACTCTTCCCTCCCCAGCCTACTCCATAACATTTGTGACACAACAAGACACAGCAGACTTATAGTGACTATGCTAATAACAAGGCATGACACTTTAATGGAAAACAAGGTTGTTAAAAACAGATGTTCCACACAGTTTACCGGTGGCATTGATATTTTCAAAGCCGGAGGTGACACGCTGCAGTGTAGGTTACATGAAAGCAGAAAAGTACTTGCATGTTAACGAGACAGGGTGATTGGAGCTCCAACTCCAGAGGGAGGTGATGGAGGTATTTACAGTAAACCAGCATCATACTTCACTCAGTCAAAGCAAAACGCAGGGGAGGTGAGCTAAGGAGGAGACGACTCAGAACTGGTAGGTGTTTTCTACTTTCTCTATTCAGTTATGTCCACAGCTATGGTCAATAAGAGTTTATCTCCAGGTGTAAACACTTCATTTTTAAATTGCACAACATTTATGTGTTTTTGATTTGGTTTTTCCATCAGCGATCATGCAGATACTAGTACTCTTCCTTGTATTGGGTGTAGTGGATGTGAATGTTAGCCAGCGATACAGCTCGATCCAATGGCTGTCCCATCTACGAAGGAGGTGGCATGGTGCCGACTGGCAGGCTGAGGACATAGATTGCCCTTTGGAATGCGACTGCCCCGCAGCTTACCCCACAGCTATGTACTGCCACAGCCGCAATCTTCAGCATGTCCCCTTTGTTCCGTCACACATCAAATATGTCTATCTGCAACGTAATCAGATCACAGGCATCCAGGACGGGGTGTTTGACAATGCTACAAACCTAGTCTGGGTAATTCTGTCCCACAACAAGCTCAACGCTGACAAAATCAGCAACAATGTCTTCACAAAGTTAGGAAGTCTGAACTGGCTCTTCCTGGATCACAATGAACTAACTGGTGTGCCTCAAAACTTACCCAAGTCCATCACAGACCTACGACTTAATCACAACAAGATCTCAAAAGTTCATTCCAGCTCATTTCAGGGGATGACCAACCTGACCACGCTTCAGCTCCAAGCAAATGTCATAGAAGACATTCAGGGCGGGCTTAAGGGACTGAAGTCTCTGACTATGCTGGACATGAGTAAAAACAAGCTGAGGAAAATCCCAGAAAACCTTCCAGAGACCCTGCAGCAGCTCTACCTGGAGTTTAATAACATAGAGAATGTCCCAGCTGGTTTTCTCACTGCATATCCTAAACTGCTGTTTGTCCGTTTGGCTCACAACACCCTGACTGATAAAGGCCTTCCATCTAACGTGTTCAACACCAGCACACTCCTGGAGCTTGACCTCTCCTTCAATAAACTAGAAAGGATCCCTTTTGTCAGCAGGAACCTGGAGAACCTGTACCTACATGCCAATAAGATCAAAGGTATGGATTCCAATTTCATGTGCCCAGGTCTTTACATGTTATATTTTATTTAAGTTTCTTAGATCACAAATAAACAGAAGAGTGATCAATTTAAAAGGATTAAATCTCATGATGAGTAATTTTTTGTATTTTTTAAATCTCATTTACTGAAATTTGCCTTGCGCTCAGTAGCTGAATCATTAAAGTGACAGTGTGTATGTTTCCTGTGGGTAGGGGGCAGTAGATATCTACATCATTGCAAGCGAGTAGTATTTTTGTGTTGGAGTAAGACCTTACCAACGGATGCCACTTAGGGTCAAAAAACCCTGGGGAGTACAAACTTCAGCAAAATGACGACTACATCAGACTCCCTTTCATCACTGGGAGAATGTGAAGAGGTGAATGTGTAAAACAACAATGTTTATGAATGGTATCAAATAGTTTACAAATCAGTAAATGCATTTTGTCATCATGGGTTCCCGTAGAAGGAAGAAAGGCACCTAATATGTTGTCCAGAGACTTAGACCCACTCCCATGTATTTTAGACCAGATTTTTTTTGGTTACATGATACAAAGCCACCAATGTTTTTCAACAACTGCGCATCATTTAATTCATTTTTAACAACATTTCGATGGATGTTTCCAGAGACTAACAGTAAAAACTACACATTGTCTCTTTAATGTACAAAGAACCTGTTTATTTCATTTTAATTTGATCATCGTTGTTCCTCAGTTGGTCACCTGAAATTCCAAATGTGTGTTAATTCCCTGTGACCCCTAAACCAGTCATCCAAACGGAGATCTCCCTTGTTCAACCAGCCAGGGCGCATGATCAATCGGGTCGCAGTGACAGGACACTCACTGTCACAGACGCATGACATTCTGTCTCAATCTGTCCCCCTGCTGATATTCTGCATTCTGTTTTCTGCGCTTCAGGCTGTGTGTGTGTGCGCGCGCGTGTGTGTGTGTGCGCGCGCACGTGTGTGTGCATGTGGGGAGTCTTGTTCTGTGTGAAAACGAAGCAGTACAAGTGATAATGCTGCAGGATTTCATAATTTTATCCTTCTCAGCAGCAGCACTGCAGGTGCTCTCCATGCCCAAAATGTGCGTAAGCCATGTCCTTAGTCAACTTAAAGTTGCGCACATTTTTCCACTAAGTTTTCTTTCATAAATCCCAAAGTTTGCGTGGGAAGTTGCTTACGCAGTTTTCCGACCCCGTTTTGCGCGTAAGCAAGCTTGATAAATGAGGCCCCTGTGCCTGAAATACATAGAGAGATGATTGTAAATAAGGTTTATATCAGTGTTTCCACTTAGAGGTTTGGTTAAAGGCTGTTTAGCAGATATCAAGGCACGAAGCACGCAGTTTTATCATACTTTTTTTGTTTTGAGTACTTTGAGCCTTTCAGCAAAAACTGAGTACATTTATAATTACACAAAGTTTCCTGAAATACTTAAAGGATTAGTGCATGGCATGGCCATTCCATGCAGCAGTTCCAAAAACACTATGTTCAGTATGATCACACTGCTGCCTCAGCGGGATACGGTTCTTCTGCACCTTACAATCTCATGCTGCAGCTAGCAGGACCCTAACAAGGCAAGGCAGCATTATTTGTATAGCTATTTCATACATAGAGGCAAATAAATGTGCTTTCCATTAGCGACATTAGCACAAACATTACAGCACAATTAAAATACACGAATAAGTTTAGATCAAATAAAAACACAAATGCATTTCAGATATCAGAATCGGAAGAAAGATAAAGGGTGAGCGGGTACAGTGCAAAAGGTGCAGCATAAGAAACGTTCATTCAAAGGCTGATCCATGAAAGACTTCAGTTTAGATTTAAAGGGATACTTTGCCACTTTCTCATATTTTAAAATAATTTTCTTAAGGCAGTATGCACTAAAAGGATCCTTTACAGGGTTACTGAATAGTCACTCTGACCCCTACCGCCCTCTGTGGCCAGAATAACGCACTTGCAACTCGAGTGTGGTGGGCCGCCAACTGTTGGACTTAGAAAAAATTGAACTTACATACCTGGAGCTGCAGTCTGCTTCCAGCACGGTTCCTGCATGTTTTAGATCATGAACACAGCTGATTTGTTTCATTTAGTGATGAACCTCTCTTTTAGGATCTATTGAAGGCTGGGGAGGTGGTTAGATAAACGCACAGAGAGGAGATACGTTTCATTTTCAGTTTGATCATAGAGAACCTATATGTCGATGTAGAGAACACACAACAGATACTAGGGGGCGCTAAAACAAGCAAAACTACCAAGCATCCCTTTAACACATTTCTTCAGGAGTTTGTTATTCCTGCCACAAGCCAAAAACATGAATGAGGAATTAACTGGTGATTCTAAATCGGCCCAAAGTGCGATAGACCAGTGAGCATCTGTACTAAACCTCTCAACCAGTGACTGCTGGAGCAGGTATAGAAACTGGATGGATGTAATGACACAGATTTAAAATATCATGTAAACATACTAAAGGTTAGAAGTAAAGAAGAACAGAGGATCAAGAAGATGACCATTTTATATCACAAAATATTGTTTTATATTAGGGCTGCAACTAACGATTATTTTCATAATCGATTAATATGTCGATTATTTTTTCGATTAACCAATTAATCGGTTTGTTATTGTTTAGCTATTTAACCTATACAAGTGATGAATACATTTCAGTTAAGAAAAAGAAAAACATAAGAGAATTGTGCAGTTGACTGCAATCTATTTTATTGCACATGAACACAGTCAGCGGTGTAAAATGAGCTAAACAGTGCAAAATATCAGTCCAGAATAATTTTTTGGCATAAAAATATAAGAGGTAAATTCCATAAAAAATAATGTAGAATCTAGAATAGAGTTTGTAAGTGGTATGCATTGCTGGGGGTGAGTGTCTTGTTCCCCATGTAGTTGTCCATCGTTGCTTGTTTTTTTCTGCATAAGAAACACAAATAGACTGAAATAAGTACACATATAAAATAAAGCAGCACACACACTACAACACTAAATCAATATTACATTATTTGAATTAATTAACAATATACAGTGATCATTTATTTTGACAAAAATGTGTTGTGAGGCGTTTTACAGCGTTAGTCAGTAAAACAGCCTTTTAATAGTAAAAAAATGACTTTCTGAATTTCTCCTGTATTTAAAAATCAAAAGCTTACAACTATGCCGTGTTATATTCACCTGGACACAGCTCGTCTGTATATTTTTCTCCACGGAGTTGTCCTTTTTTGAATGAGGAACATAGTTATGGGTTTGTGCCGTTTTTCTCTTAACGAGGACATTCTTATAAACAGACGTGCTAAATTTGGCAAGCGCATGATACAAAACACGGAGGAGATTCACGATTGCATCTAGTCAATCAGAAGTAGAACACCGTAGACTGACGCGGCAAAAAAACATGTTTAACATCCACTATAACGAACTCAGCTCCCAAATTTGATCTGCGTTAGCTTGTTTATTTTCTGTTACTTACCGGATTTACCGGACTTTCCTCTGCTGCGTCAGCCCCCACATGTTTTCGTTTCAAATGTTCACTTAGGGACGTCATGCTTCCGTGCCATGCTAGATGGTTTGTGCATATTTTGCAGGTCACCTGTCCTTTCATGGCATCTAGAGTGAAGTGCCCCCATACTCGTGAGGTTTTTGTCCGGGGTTTCTCTTCAGTTTTGTCGCTTCTATTTTTCTATTTTTATTTCTTCTTGTTCTGCCATCTCTCACAGCAAGATGCGCGTCAGTAACGTGTTACGTCGTGAAAACCGAGGGCACTTATTGGCTCGTTTCTTCTTCTACGGCTCCACTGGTAGATCAGTGGCTCATTACTGCCACACACTGGCGGCAAATTTAACAGATTGTAACCGATGTCAGATTGTGGTAAAAAATAGACTTTATGCGGTAAAATATGATTATTAAACAACTAATCGATAACTAAAAACGTTGTTAACTATTTTAATAATTGATTATAATCGATTAAATCGATTAGTTGTTTCAGCTCTATTTTATATCATGCCGATTATCCATCAAGCAATGATTGAATTGATTTCTAAAAGCACTATGTCTGCTAGCAAGTCCACACATAGTCTCCTAAGCTCAAGGAATGCATTTTAATTGACGTTACCTGGCGCCTTGTTCATTAAATCAATTTTATACATTTTATCCCAGACGTGATGAATTTTGGTCTGCTTTGGTTTGACAGCAATTTTTGAGTCCATAAACGTTAACCAGTTTAATTTGTTTACTTCCTTTCAGAGTTTTCCCTGAGCAGTTTCTGCAGCACGACTGATGTGACAAACTTCTCCAGGCTGAAAGTTCTGCGTCTGGATGCCAACGAGATCAGTGCCAGAGACATTCCTGCTGAAGCAGCCTACTGTTTGCGGCATGTTGCTTTTATTGATGTGTAAGAGCTTTTTGACCAAAGCTGGTAAACGTGGTTAACCAAGTACTCACACTCACAAGTACTAAAATGTTTCCTTTTATATGTGATATAGCGTTAATCAACAGGAAATACCACCATTGTGCTATCTGATATCCAGATGGCAGACATATGGATAACAAAGTGAAAAAAGGCTGGACGACTAATATCCTTAAACCAATTAGAATCTCAGTTCATGTCTTCTGGTAAAAAAAAATACCCTCTTTCATACAATTAGGTGAAAGTATAATAAGTATAATCAATCATGTGCTGGAAAATTAGTTTGGATCTTTGCCTCCACCATGTGGAACGTGACAAAACATCATGCCAGGCGATGCTTGGAAGTACTTATTAGAGAGAGTATTTGTCAGTACTCCAGCAATGGCCCCACTAAATGTTACCACAGTTTAACCATTTAGATACCTCAATGTTCCTATTTGCAAAGTAACTCTCTTACAAGACTTACGTTTCAGAGCTGACATCTATCTATCTATCTATCTATCTATCTATCTGTCTGTCTGTCTGTCTGTCTATCTATCTATCTGTCTGTCTGTCTGTCTGTCTGTCTGTCTATCTATCTATCTATCTATCTAGCTATCTTGTGAAAAATGACAAATTACTCAACTTTATTTTATTTTGTAGTAAGGATTTAATAATGGTGGAAGTTAATGTAACAAATGAACTGGTTAATAATCACATTATCTCAATAAATGTGTTAAAATTGTACTTTTTTGGAATGAACCTTATGTATGTTTTTTCTTCAACACATATAAATTAGCATTACTGTGCAAAAGTCTAAAGCTATTCCTTGTTTATGCTTTTATAAGAATGATGGGAGTCATGACAACTATGAATCATTAGTGTGCTGAATTGCTCTCTGGAGATTTAAAGTTTTCTTTTGGTGTGAACTTCTTTATAACACCATGCGTTCGTGTAAAATTTAAAAAGTTATTTTCAGAAATATTTCTCCTGGTTTATGGGCACTTCAAAGCTTCTTTTTGGAACATGGCTGTCCTTTTGTTTGACTGATTCTACCCCGCTGCATTCCTGCTTCTGGGTGGGTCGTCCATGACTGAAAACACTGCATTGTGCATTTTATGCTTTTTTGATTATTTACACCTTCCTCCTGGTAAATTCTGGTCAAGGTGACTGCATATAAAACATTTAAAAATGAGATGAATCTAAATCTTTTATTTACAAAGAAGTTTTCATTTAAAAGACATCGCACAATACAGAAGAACATAGAAATCACACAAACCAGATTCAACTCTCCCCTGTGCAGTTCTGTGGTGCTCCATTCATGGAAAATAAAGCCAGACGGGCTTCCGATGATGTTGTGCTGCAGATTAAAACCAATGGTGCTTTTTTGTGCTTATCCTTATATAAATTGTGCTTTTTCAGGAATGTGACTGAACATACTCAAACTTTGCCATTGCATGATTTTACCCCATCTCTTCTTCTTAAGTCCTGAATTTGATCATTTTCTTCCTAATAGTTAGAAATACAAAACACATAAGCATAAATAGAAATGACAAGATTTTGGCAAAAACTTTAAGGGGAACTAGGCAGTTTAGGTTTGTTTTTAGCACCCCCTAGTGTCCGTTTGTAGAACTGAAAGCAAAACTTATCTACTCGCTGTGCACTCGTCTTTTTAACACCTAAAGCTAACATCTGAAACATCTCCCAAGCCTTCGTTGGTGTCTACAGGAGGGGTTCATCACTAAATTAAACAAATCAGCTGTGTTTATGATCTATAACATGCAGGAAATGTGCTGGAAGCAGACTGCAGCACCAGGTATGTCAGCTCAGTTGTTTTAAGTCCCAACAGAGCAGCCAGTCTGAAGTTGCAAGTGGAAGATTCGTGCCACAGGGGGCGAAAGAGGCTGGGAGGCCTTTCATTAACCCTGTAGAGTCATTTTAGCACATACTGGCTCAAGATAATGACTAAAAAATATGAAATATTTGCTAAGTAACCCTTTACATTTTTAGTGTTCACAAATTTGCAAGCTCCATTTAACCATTTCAAGAAGTTTTATGAAGTTTAAGATTTTTCTATTAGCTGAAAATCTAAGTAACTTCTTTTATAATAAAGCCAAAACATGTGAGTGCATTAAGGATTCTTTTAACACATAATTATTAAGAGCAAATTGTCCGTTGCCCTCTCCTATCTCCTCATAGCTGCCTTCACTCCTCCCAATGAAGGCTCTAGAAATGTTGGTGGGATGATTTCCTTGTTTCGTAATGGCAATGACAATAACTGCTACAGTTTGTGAAATGAAAAGTGGAAGCCTCTGCAGAGGCTGTGGGGTGAGGCTTTGACACCCCCCCCCCCCCCCCCCCCCACACACACACACACTTAAAACACAAGAGGCAAACACACATGCTATTAATCACATGTGAGAGTCTTTTCCTTTCTTCTCTCTCTCTCTTTCCCTGACCGAGTCCTTTGAAATCCGTACAAAGGTTTCATTTGATGGGAAAGCATCCAGCCTCTGTAACTCAGACATTATGCAATTCATTCTTATAAAACATTATCCCTGGGTTAACACGAGTGAGACTCATGACAGTAATGGAGGGCATTATCTTCTCTCTTCACAGTAATACCCTGTTATTGGGTGTTCCTGTATAATAATGATTAAACACCACGCACATATGTTAGTGAGCTGTGGGAACACATCCTTCTGTTGTGTGGCGCGTCCATGAATGCATCCCATGTTTAACACTCATAGTGACCGACGTCACCAAAAACCAAAAATAATGAATAAAACTGTAGATCGATGATGAGGAAAATCTGAATTTTCCCAGATAATATAAAGTTCTTAAATCCTTTATACATACTTTTCTGTTTGAATACAAACTTGGAACTGATTTATTTCTTATTGACATAGATACAATTTTATAATCAATGCAGTGGATGAGAAGAGTTTATATAATAAATAACTTATGGGAGCAAAATTAACAAACACTTGGTTAATTATTGACAAATAGAGACTACAGTAAAATATACTTTTAGTGAACCTGACATAATATCTTTAACAGAAATTGTGATTTGCACAGCATAAAAGATAAAGATGAACCTTTTTCTCACACAAAGCATCGTTTCTGATTAAATATACAAGCTGGATATATTACACATATAAGGACGTGAAATGTTGTTTGTGATGGATGAATCGTTCTTGGAGCTTCTGCAGAGGCTTTAGTCCACACTGCCTGGAGAGAGAGAGAGAGAGAGAGAGAGAGAGAGAGAGAGAGAGAGAGAGAGAGAGAGAGAGAGAGAGAGAGAGAGAGAGAGAGAGAGAGAGAGAGAGAGAGAGAGAGAGAGAGAGAGAGAGAGAGAGAGAGAGAGAATAAAGATGTCTGCAGATGGAATGTTTAACATTTTATCTCTCCCCCTCCTGAGAGTCATTCATATTTTGATGCAGAAAAGCGAGATACTCACGTTACTGAGGCTCCATCTCGACATGCTCTGGATCGCTTTAACACATCACACAAGTAGGCATTAACACAACTATCACAGGCACGAAGGAGGTTCTTGTTCAGTGATTCTGGATGTTCTCACCTTGAACTTGAGTGTGTTCTTGATTCCTGATGGTTGAAAATTTTCTGTTTTATGGAAGAAAATAGACTTGATGATTTGAAATCCAGATGAATGTGGTACAAATTAAATCTAAAACACAAACATGCATTTCTTGGAATGTTTTAAAGATGTGGAAAACTTGTTTAGTCAATACATTTGCAGTGGTCTGTAGTAGGAATGAATGCCTTGTAGGCAGTAATCAGGGCACAAAGAAACCCACAAACCCCTGGCTCAGCAGGTACAAGTCTGCAACATCAGCTGAGCTTCAATCGGCAGGTTTTGGAGTCTTTTGGGCCATTCCCATCTGTACCGGGTTGACCCGGGCCGGGTAGCGTAGGTTGTTTACATATCTGGGTGGCCTGGTATTTTTCCGGGCCAACCAAGGCTCATTCTCAGCCCTCTTCTCGAGGGGGTCTGCTTCAGGCCGACCAGGGCCAACACACCCACTGCTGACAGCAAATTCACACCTTCCATCAGAGCAAGCCTCTGATTGGTGGGTAGAATCAGCCCACATGGGCTTAAGACAAGGATGTGTGGAATCAACCGGGCCAGGCTGGGGCCGACTGGGGCTACCCGGCCCGGGCCGACCTGGTACAGATGGGAATGGCCCATTATTTCCTGATATGTGGACATCTCACCCTGGGTTTGATAACAGTAACGCGACATTACAACTGACTTGCATCACGGATGTTTTATGTTGACAAATCACACAAGTCTGCGGGGGCTTCTGTCGTGAGGTGGAGTTGCTAACGGTTGTTAAAATAACAATAGATTTTTTAATCAGAAGCTAATGCAGGATGTAGGTGTAGGAGACTAGGAAAACCCCACATGGACTGATTATAATCAGATAAAAACATTGAAAATGGTTTTTCAGTCAACCACACCATTACATTTTTAATCATATTTTGTAAAACTCCTAAAACATATTTATAAGGTAGATTGTGCCAAAGGAAGGCATTCAAAATGTTTTTCAAGGTGATTCTTCTTTTTGCGTGATTGGAATCTATTCTCTCTCTGCTTTGAGTCTGTTCTACACCACAGGCTCCACTCCACCCAACTGAGCGAATCACCGTGATTTTCACATTTTTTAGTCATATCAGATTCACAGCAGATGAGCATCTGAGACAGAGGACACATTTTGAAGAGAACATCTCTGGGAATGTGATGTATTTTGTCTCACTCCTGTGAACAAAGCAAAGTTATATCCTGGTTCTCCAAGTAGTGGGTGGTGAGCCAAGGTGGACTACAAAACATATTCAGTTGAATTCCAGCCAAAATAAATCAACTTTTTGGAGTCAAACATGTTTTTAAATGGGTGTTGAGTCACAGCAAGGAACGTGGGAGATAGTTCGGATGAGGATCAAGGTCTTTTGCAAGAAAAATAGTTTTGGTTTGGGTTCTGTAGCTGCCAGCTGAGCAGCTGATGGCAATGACCCTTAATTGGCTCACAGAATGTATATAAGCCACACCCTTCCAGAGGAAATTGTTTGGGTTAATCTGTTTGTGGAGAAGTTAACACCGTTTGAAGTATTGAAATTAGGTCTTAAGCCGAAAGTCACCTCAGCTGCACATTGCCGACTGCATCCCCACGTAAGTTTTGCTGTATTGACACTTTTGTTTGGGTTATTAGTTTGACACTATAGTCATTGTTTGTTTTTCCTGTCCATCACCTAGTCAAATCTACAGATAAAGCAGCTTTGAGGAATTATTGTTTTGTTTAGCACCCTTGGCCAGCGGAGCAAGGTAAATGTGAGAATATAATCTATTTCTGTTATGACATTGAAGTTGTGTTCACCTTTTATTTATGCTTTGCACATCTCTACACAGTTTTCACGGTGCAACTCGGAGTGAAGTCCAAGGCATTTGGACCAGAGAAACAAATAAAAGTTTATGCACCAGTCGAGGCTCTCCGTTCATTTTCTTCATGGTGCCAGGGGCAGCTACAGGTTCCATAATTAAAAAAAAAAGACAAAGACAAAGAACATATCTACAAACTAGACTAATCTGTCTCAGTTTATTCTGAAATTACAGAAAATGTCCTTAAATACTCTGACAATAAAACGTGTGACTTGTTTGTTCAGGAAGTTGCTGTGTGTGACGTGACTGGATTCACTCACATTATTTAAGAATAGTTGGTAATTATACGCGCCGATTCAAACTTCACAGCAGGACATCTCTACCAGAAATAAAACAGAACGTGGTTGTCCTCTTACTTCTGGAGCCGTTGTTTTTAGCTGCTTTGCTCTTCAGTAGCCAAACATTCTTAATGTGAGCACATATGATTTCAATCAAAGCTTATGAAGATTCAGTGCTCGAGCACCGCGACTTTGACAGCACAATTCACCCCCATAAAACCACAACAAGTCAACAAGAAGGATTCACAAGACAGGAAAATTTTAAATCTAACGATCGCCCACCTTTACATATCCGTAGATTTAGACTCATGATGTTTCTTTAAAAACAGACTTAAGATAAAGATGTAGCTAAGACTAATTTACAGCGTGGAAGTTTTAATATAATGTCATGTTTTTACACAGAATATTAACAGTTAGAACTATTCATGTTTTATAAAGTGTTAAATAAAATAAATAACTTATAAGAACCCAGAAGCCCACACAGCAGCTCATTTGATCTTGTTTTGTGTGGAATTTGGATTTTATAATCATAAACGGGTCACGAGTTATGGAATCTAATGATTTCAAATGTAAGAAAAAACATGAAGTTTCAACTTGACCATTTAATTGGTTAATAAATAATAACATTACTTGGAAAAAATGCTTCCAGTTATCAGGATTTTTCATCTTGATTTGAGGGTTAAAATGTGTGCTGCAGTTTAACAAAGCAAACTCTTTCTAGCTAATCTGTAACTATGTTTTTATACAAACCAGACCAGTCTGACTTTTATTACTCAAAAACACGGAGAGCCTGTTTGTATGAGAGTCATCCTGAAATCAAACTCAACATTATACCCCTCTTCTCATAATTACTAATTACTAGCTTTACCTTTCAGAATGTCATAATGATTTGAATAAAAAAAAAGTTAACTTTAATACACTCAGCCTAAAAGTGACCGAAGGTCTGAGTGTGTCTTACACATCTGGTCCAAAATAACATCAGATTGTTGTAATTAAAGAAATGCATTTCCTTTTCACTAGGAGGCACATTATCTATGTCAAATATTGAGCCTCCTTTGTCCCGTCTCATTCTTCCAATTGTGTCTAAAGGTTTAAAAAAACAACAACTATGTTCTGTGAAGTGCAGACATATTCAGCTAAAACCACATAACAGTTTAATATTAGATGATAAACAATCAATAAGGGGTCAGGTTGGCCCACAACTTCCATTTTTATAATAACAGGACAAATTAATTCCAGTTGTAGGACGGAACAACATCATGGTAAGATTATGCAGCTGTGTCACAGACCGTGTTTAACTGGCGCTGGCTTAATATCAGCATGGTGACAAACATATTTTATAAATGTTTGTGTCTCTGGAGGGAGGAAGTTAGATGTGATGAAAGTTGTTAAGGAGAGGATTCGAGGATGATTTTGGAACTGAGGTCTGCACCAACAGAACATTTGTTAGAGAAAAAACACACAAACATGATATGGTGAGGAGTTGAGTTGGGTAACAATCACAAATGTGTAACGTATGCTAAAAGTGTGTGTGTGTGTGTGTGCTCTACAGTGGGCACGTCTGACGATGTGAAATTGAAACAAGGAAATGGAGGAAATTCGATTGTTACCAAACTTTGTAAACATCAGGTGTCAGATTTGGGGGAAATACAAAATAAATAAATAAATGATAGATCTGCGAAACTTGACCAGTCAGGATGACTTGGTGACTGTTTGATAGATAAATGGTGCATAAATACATAAATAAACACAATAATAGGATCTTTTGATTATCTATTACATCATTTATCTGCTATTGTCAGTGTAACCAATTGTTATGGCTGGGGCCATTTATGTTTTTAATTCATTTCTTACTCCTCTGTTTTTATCCCTCTTGTGTGAGAGGAGCTGTTTTGCAGCACCTGGCTTCTCCCACACCTGTCCAGTCCCACACTGAAGTCCCAGCTGGTGGCAATGACCATCAGCAGCTGAATGAGGACTCACTGCATAAAAGCCACCCAGCCCTCATCATCAGGGAGCAACAGGCTGGACATGTGGTCTCTGTCCTGTTGGCTCCTTGGCGTGCTTTCGTTTTAATCTCTTTTAGCTAATTTGTGTTTTTTATGTGCAGGGGTTTTCCTGGTTTGAACATTAATGTTCTTGTGTGTGCAGGGGGTTCCCTGATATGAACATTAATTTGGTGTGCAGGGTTTTCCTTGATTCGTAGTTATATTGGCTAAGTAGAATTTATTTAGTTTTACCATTTTAGTTGCTGCCGATTAGTCCAGTTGTGTTTATTAATTTTCTGTGGGGTAAATAAATTTAAGTTAACTTTTAAACACCAGAGCATGTGTCTTCCTTGTTACCCCAGGTCCCCTAGACAGCCTGGAGCGTAACAAATGGGGGCTGGTCCGGGATATTTAGATCTCTAATTTTTCCTGGACACGTGCTCTTCCTCTGGTGTTTATTTTTTGGAGTTTATTAATTTATTTATTTCAGAAAAGTTCAGACGCTCCATCCCATGTGCTCATTGGTGCGTGTTGTGGGTGTAGACTGTGGGAGGTGACACATCATCTCTGGATTTGAAGATGGCTCAAACGGACCAAATTTTCTGTAGGGGGAGAAGACCAAGCTTTGCTCTCACTGCTTTGAGGTGCTGTGGATCCAGAAGCCTAGATGTGTCACCCTCATGTGTCATTTTTTTGTAAGTACTCTGAAGGGAAAATTGTGCATTTGTCAAACATAACTGCAGTCAATATTTTTTTATGAATTTGATCAACAGTATTCCTGTGTCACATTGTGGTATGGAGGAGTTGGACCCAATGTGCAGACACCCAGAACGACACGTGACTGGAGAGGATATAAAAGAAAACATTCTTTATTAAGAATGACCTAGCCATAAATCCTAGAGA